TTTGTCATAACTACATTATCATTGTCAATTTTTGTGAAAAAATAGTTTTTAGACGGGGATTTGGATTTACAAAAATATCACCAACTTCGTGTTTATAACAAATTCAATCCCTTTTCCCTTGACATTACCCGTGAACACAACTATTCACGAATGATTTCCCTCGTTCCTTGATATCTCTAATAAATATAAAAAAAAAAAAAAAAATTCATCAAAACAAATATTTTCAACAAATCTTTATCATTTTATCGCACAAAACTCATAATTATATTTGCCCAATCTAAACCCAAAATCCTCTACACACACTGCTAACATAAAATTCATTTCATTTATAGCTAATAATAGCCCAAACTTCTTCATTCTCAATAATAACCCAAAATTTATAGCAAACAAAGTTGAATACATGTTTTCATATTCATCAAAACCTAATAATAGCTTATAAACATGCAACATCTTGAATGTACTAAAATTTAAGTATAACAAATGCAAGAAATGTGAAAAAATGACAATTATCAGGGTATTAAATGTAGATTTAAAGTCTTTATCATGACAATCTTGTTATCGGGACAACAAAAGTATAAACCTTCCTCTCACAACCATTATCAATGCATGTAATTCTAACTTTTTATTATTATTATTATTAATATATCTCTTCACATGATATTCATGTTATACTTTGTATTCTCAAAAAAAAATTCCTGAAATGATTGACATTTTTAAACTTTATTGATTTATCAACTTTCACTTTAATATCTTACATTTAAACTTGTTCACTTCCATCTTCAACTTCCTCATAACTACTATTTAATTTTGCACTACCTCAACATCAAAATCATCCTCTTTAGAATTTATTTTCTGATTATTCTTTCATTCTAAATCATCATCCAAACTTTTATTGAAACATAAATCATCTTCTAAACATCAATTCATTTGTGTTCTACTTTAATAACAAATTCAAATTCCTTTTTATTAAAAGAAATATAATAATCATCTTTCTCATTATTATCATCATCTTTCCTATATTTTGTATATTCATTACTAACCTCGTCAATTCTATTAGCTCTTTCTATACTTAAAATATCATCGTCAATTCTTTCACTATCTAAATTATTAAGATTTACATTCTTCATATATTATAAACACCTATAATGTTGTCAACATCACCATCATTGTTATTATGACCCAAATTATCTATATCAAATTCAAGTATGATTTTATTACCAACATTAGCATCCATAAAGTATTTTATTCCAGTTTTTTTACTGCCATGAAACTTGCATATGAAATACTTTAGAATTTTGATTGTTGGATGAGTAACATCATGATCGCCATGAACATAGATACTAATCTCGTACTTACCTTTGTTCAAATTCAATATTTTTACGTAGATGGGTCGTTAAATTTTTTAATTTCATCTTCTTATTTTTTAATATATTCCTTCTGTGATGTAATTTCATGAGATAAAGTTTAAAATTATAGTATACAGATGAAATTAAAATAAGATGACCCTAATGTAAATCACAGAGAAAATGCTTGATTAATTTTAAAGTTTTTAGAATTTATGTTTTGGTCTATAACCTTTTGGTTTGATTCATTTTCAAGTTCTTGGGTTTAAAAAATGAGAGACAAGTTTGATAAAAAACAATAAGGTTATTAATTAACCAAAAAAATAGAAGGATATTTGTAATCTAACCACTAAAAAGAAGGATATTTGTGTCAATGAGTTTTTTGTTCCCAAAATGAGTTTATTGGAGATATTTCTAATCATGGTTGGAAAGGCAAATGAGGTTAATTTTTATATTTAATTAATTTTCATTTTTAGTAAATTTTAGGTCTTTCGGTGTTTTATATAGATTTTTATGGTGAAAATATGATGAAAAATGGATTGTTAAGGCAAAAATCTTCGTATATCTTTTTACCACACAACATGTCATCTGTTTTTTTAATAAAAAAAAAAAGTGAAGTAAGAAAAAAACTTAAACAAGGCCCGAGTGAAAAAATAAGTGAAGTAAGAAAAAAACTTAAACAAGGCCCGAGTGTTTCTTTTAAACCATACATGTATGCTTAGCTGATACTTTTTTTTTATTTTGATTATTTCTTAAATAATTTAATTAAGACCCTCTCTATTTTTATATTTTTTTTACTTTACATTATTTTTTATTTAAATATCAACTAATACCCCTCTCTCTAATTTTTAAAACTTCTTAGTTCATTTTTTTTTTAAAAGATTGTGATTATTTTAAAAAAAATATTTTGTATTTTTATGATGTTTCAAAAAGATTATTATAATTTATCTTTAATTTTTTTATATTTGATATAAATAAAATTTGTTTGCATAATTCATTTATAAAAATGAAAATAATTTTTCTTTGGTAAGAAAAAACAACCTTTTAGATAAAAAAAATTGCATAAATTAAAAAGAATAATTAGGGTTAAATATCTGCATATTTTGTTTTTTTTTTTTAATTTTAAAATAAATATTAACTTTCCATTTAAATATTTAATTAGTATTAAGTATTAACAATTCTTTTACTATTTATTTATCGATTCATATATATTTTTTAAAATTTATTTAATTAAGTGTAAATAAAATCTTTGTATTCATGTAAAACACTTCCGTAACATTGATATATATATTTTTATTATATTCAAAATTAATTTGAAATTTTACCACTGTGCGTGACAAAAACTAGTTATAACTATACATCGTGCGTGACAAAAACTAGTTATAACTATAAGTTTCAATTGTTTAGGATATATTGTCATGCTTATTAATTAGAATCTACTGCTATATTTTTTTTTTATGTTTCTTTCTCTGAAACTGATCTGATATAATGAGATAGCAACAAAATCATTTTTTGGAAATTGATTTAACTATTTGCCATGGTATAATATAATATAATAAATAAACTCTTTGCCAAATAGAGGATTTTGCAGGGCTAGTGATGATTTAATTATAGTTTTTAAAACTGATTTGGATTCAATCCAAAAGTTCCGGGTTATTGATTAGTTGAGTTAATTTCAACTTGACTTATATTAATTTAATTTTTTTATTTTATAAAAAAAATCAATGATTTTTAACTGAATTTTCCTCAAATTAACTGAATCAAAAGTCAATCTAATTTTTGACCTAAATCATAAGTCAACTGCTGGCTGGGGTTTCAAAACAGTGGCTTTAATTTGTAAAACACAGCGTGCGCCAACCTCGGAGCACCGAGATTCCATTTGTAATGTAGGGTCGGGTCACTAGATTAATAATTACGATTAAGAGATATAATACGTAATCCAGTGGGCTAGTGTGCATGGTAACCGCCGGGGTCTGGTCTTTGGCTTTAACACATGTCAACATTGGAGGCTCTCTACAACTATAGTTTAAGGGAAGACCATGATTTACCCTTAATGACCATCTACAGATGACTTTAAGAGGCCCAACCTCCTTAAAAGCTTCTGTCATTGAAGCCTCCTCAGCCTCTCATAGAAGACTCAATCCTTATAGCATACTAAGATCAATCAAATTGGTCAATTAATCAAAGCCAGAAGCAAGATAATTTGACAGCTTTCATTTACATAAACTGTGTCTGCATGCAGCACGCCAGGCGGCCATTGCAAAAGAATCTCCTATGCGCGGAAAACGTACAGCAAGAATTGGTCAAGAGGCATCACCTAAAAATGAATATAAAAGCACAGTTAGAAGTAGGTTAAAGTTCGTAATGGTAAAGCGCTCTCTTGAAAAAAATATATATCAGAATAGTGTATTACAAGGAAATAATGGTATTGTGGTCGAAATCATCATGTTTTTGCTGAACCCTCTTCTCGCAGAGAAACAAAACAAGAGCAGGTGATGCTTTATCAACTAGAAACGGCAGCAGGCTTCAGATCAGCAGTTTGAAGTGAGTTTGCACCAGTGAAACTCACAAGTCAAGGAAAAATTAAGCAACACCATTGCAAGAAAGTCATCTATATGTATTCATTCAAAATGAAATTTGGAGACGAGGCGACTACGGTGCCTGAAAGTAAATGTTGAAAGGATTCTGCGGGAACATCACAAGGAATGGAATTATTTGGTTCTGGATTACATTTAATGAAACATTTCTCATTGTTCACCAAAATAAAACGATTCTATATGCCCCTAAGGCACTCATAAACTGTAAAAGTATCCATGCCACTCGTTAGTTTTATTAATTAAAATGGAGTAGTGAGATTTGAATTTATAATTGTTTAATTAACGAGATTTTAAAATCATGTTAAAAAATTATCTTAATCTAATGATTTAAATTATTAATTTAAGATATATTCTAAGATAAAATTTATATTATTCTTTAATATATATTAATGTATTACCAGAAATCAAAGTGGAGTTCGGTGATACTTGGGGATTTAAGGGATGAATAAATGACTTTTAATCAATAAACAAATATTCTGTCTCTTTAAAGTGGTATTTGCTATCATTATAAATGTAGTTTGTTATAGGTTTCAAAGCAAACACACTCCAGCTCTCATCAAAGCCACTAGAAAATCTAGGATGGCACCTTTCAAGATTTCTTTTAGAAATTAAAAAGAAAGATATTTTTTCTAGAAGAAGATATATTTACAAGTATTCCCAACACTTCAATTTATAGTTTATGAACAATCATAACTACTACAATAGAGTTTTCTATCCAAAAAGTTTAATCTATCCATGAATGGTCATGACCCTAAGTACTCAAAGGTCAAAAAAAAAAAAAACATTCACGCTCAACCTACAGCTCAAACAAGCTCTTGAAGGGTCTATTTCTCAACCTGTAGTTTAAACATACATAACTCCTGGAAAAAATTCAACTATCATTCAATCTTCCTTCTACATACAAGTATTACAATCTAAAACAACCAAATCCAACGTTGTTCACGATCATATGGCTCATGGGAGCAAATAAGACACTTTTCTATTCCACACAACAATCAGCACTGCACAATGCAAATGCTTATACTATTATAATTGCAGAATAATTTTGTAGTGTTTAGTCCAGAAACAAGTCTCAAATTGTCTTAGCTTCAAACTCTGACATCACAACTAAACAACAACGCGTATTTGTTACTTTAGTCAAAAGATACATAATCGAGGAGAAAAGACAAGTATTGCTGGAAAATGTTTTTCAACATCATTGACAAGGGAAGCTTTTGGGTCATCAAAAGAAATGGCAACTATTTTCCAATTGAGCTCCCCCTCGTCAATGACAGAAACATCAACTAAAATCGAAAAAAGTCATTAAACACGTATTCATCTTAGTTATCAAAGCAATATTTATATCAGAATCACATATATATGTAAGACAAGATTGTACCAGGATCATTAATCTCCGAATGCCCCTTCAACTTTCATTGAATGCAAATGACGGGTCTTCCCAACTTTGTGGAAGCAACCCGTGATTCCAATTTATATTGTAGCTGAATAAAAACCAGAAACAATAAAAACAAGGCAGCAACAAGAGCTAAGTGCATTGGCACAAAGAGATGTGGAATAATTCGGGAAAAAAAAAAACAAGCAAAAAGAACAGAACTTACGGGTAATAACGAAGTCTTCCCTTCTTGGTATCCTGCTTTATTGGAGTCAAACGTTCATCAGCAACAACCTTCATTTTTGCAGGTGTACGTTTTCACATCTCCACACCATAATCAAATATCCCATCTCCTAAATGCAATGGTAGTAAATCTTGCTGTTGAAATGGGGAGTTTCGCTGGTTGGTTAAACAGAAAATGTTTTAGCCAAAAAAAGATGATGTTCTAGTTGCGGACTTGAAGTGGGCATGGAGCAGTGTGCTCTGGCTCTCTGCCACTGACCCCAGTAGCCACAAGAAAGCAGAGCTTGTGTGTTGGGTCGAAAGCAGGGATGGCAGTCCGGTCTAAGCCGGCAAAGACCCGCCCAAAAAGAATCCAAATTGGTGTTTGGAAGCGTAGTTAATTTTTTTTTTTCAAAATATTGATTTTTTTAATTTTTTATATATTAATATTAATCAAAATTTTGATTTTTTGATTTTTTATATATTAATATTAAAAATAAATTTTAAAAAATATATTGAAAAATGTAGTTTTACATTCCAGGATCTCTCTTCTTTTTTTCTTACAATTAGGACCTCCAATCTATCACAAACAATGTCATTAAGATTTGTTTCTTTGTTAATCATGTTAATAGTATGATATCTGTCCATTAAAGTAAATAAAACACAAAGAAAAAGAAAATGAAAATGATTTTTTTTAATTTTCAATATATATATATATATAATGAATCTCATGTTCAGTGTAAAACATGGGCACTTAAATCTTTGTATGCAGGATCCTAATCCTAAAAAAAAAAAAAACGATACAGTCCTGTTCATTAAACAAAATTAAAAAAACAAAAAGTTTTGACGAAAAAAAAAATAGTTTAAAGAATAGACAAAACCCAGTTAACTTAACATCCTTCCTCCAATTGAGTTTTCAAAAAAGACTTTTAATTATTAAATTTTGGAAATTAATTCTTCACGACCAAATTCGCAAATTCAATCAATTCATGTGATGATTTTATATCTTTTTAGATAAATTTTTTTTGACAATTTAAGGAAACGAAAGTCCAGTGCTGATCGTGAACATGGATATACTGCCATTTTTGCATCCATAAAATCCGGACAAATTGCCAACAAGAAGTTACTATTGCAATTCTAAACCAAATCTCCTCGACGATCAAATTCATTGAATAAAACCCAGGTCAGAAATTCCCTCTTCAACAGTGGACTGTATGCACAATACTCGTCAAAAAATATTAAGAAGGGTCATAATTGGAACAAAGGGGACCAGAGTATAAAAAAGAATAAATTGGGTGGCAGTTTCCAAGGCCAAAAGTTCACTTTGGTCCTCTTACTTATTAAATGATAACATTTCGGTCTCCAAGTATTTTGAAAACTCAGTTCTACTAATAGCAATGATGGATACGAGATTTGCACATATGATCACTAAATCCGTGACACCAAGGAGGAGGGTGACACGATTCTAAAATACAAACGGGTTATGAAATGTACTTAAAGATCCACTACAAATTACACATATTTGGGCTTGCACACCACGTGACCCAATACTCATTTGGACCCAGGATGGGTGACATAGCTTTCAAAGAGCCTTGTTGACCCAATCGACCAATAATGAACTAGATTTCACATCGAGCCTAGGGTACTAACATAATCCAACAAAGCTACACTCCTGGGTGGAGGAATGGACCTGCTAAAAGGCACTAGCTTGAATAGAAGTAACCTAGAAGACATAGACCTTGACAAGAATAGCTAGGTTCTAAGCTGCTCCACGTACCCTTTGTATAATTGGTATAAGATATTAAATACTCACAAGTCTTCCTATCATAACTGAGTTTGATAATTATGCTATGGATGCTTATACCTAGTGAATAATCTACATGACATTATCTTTTTCACTCGACGGTGAACCATCAATTATTAAAGACTATTACCTTGAATGATTGTCATTAATTTAGATATAATATTTCTTTCCCTACTTTATCCTTGTCTTATACAGATTAACATGGTTCGTGTCTATATAGACATTAAAGAACAGCCGAGTAAGACAAGATTCTAATTTCATAAGTTCTAATTTCTAGATTTACTGGTCCATGCTCTTATCATCTTCTTCATTACATTTTTTTATAATTACATATATCATACATACTATCTCTGAAGTTCAGTATAAAAACTTGTTTTCATAGGTGTTCATAATCTTTAAGTTTAGCGATTTACTATATTTGTGGGTATACATACGCTACTCCGCAAGCTAAAATAATTTTTTGGATAAAAAAGACGCCTTGGCAATATAAACATGTTTTAAATAAGTTAAAAAAAAACATAAATCAAGGCAAAGACTAGACCAAGCAAAAAAAAAAATAGTATAATTTAAACAGATAATAAAAGAACATACAATAATAATAAATAAACTAATTTAAACAGAAAAAAAATAAAAGTCTAATTCCAAGCAAATCCAACATAAAAAAATAAAATTGAAAAAAAATCAATAAAAAAAACAAAAACCCATCAAACTAGAAAAACCAATTAAAATCTGTAACCTAAACAATGTGAATGAGATAACCAGGAAACATTACAAAGCTTGGCTCTAAAACAATTTAATATAGAAGGAAAGAATAAAAATAATATAAAATTAAAAATAAAAACCCTAAAATAAATAATAAAAAAAAAGATGGATTAAACATGAAATTACAACCAATTGAAGAGCTTCTTTAAGGGAGAGCATGAAAATTAAGAAGAAAAAATAACAATTATATCATAAAGACTCGATAAAAAAATCATAATGTCCTCCACCCCTAATTTATTTTTTTTACAGCACCAAGGTATTTCTGTCCTGACACTATTAGAATAAACAGTGTTACGAGTCTAGGATACAGTAAATCCTCTTCCTCACTCAGTGTTTTTCTTTTTAATTATAATTTAATCTCCCACGCTTCAGATCAATCATCAACCTTGGGATACACTTAAATTAGGCGAAGCTCAATCCAAATTGTAAAGGTGAGGATAAGCTCACGGGCTTTCTTTAATAATCTTTTTACTCCAAGTGAATACACAGAATACAGGCCCGAGTCAAGCATTTTGGGCCCGTTCTTCCAATTATACACTCGGCCTTCAGACACGATTATGTTGATATAATTTTTTTTTTTTAAAAAAAAATTATTATTTTCAAACTGAAAAAGAAACAAAAAGTTATCTGTATTAGGCCGTGTAGCTACAATGTAGACTCTATAGGCTAGGCTCTGGTCGAGCAAGCTCGCAAGCCATTTGTACAAGTGAATTGGTGGCTGTTTGGGTCATCAACAAGAGTGTGTGTGGTCTTACATCGTGGGCAAGGCTTGAAGTGTTCCATCGGTATGTTATCCTGGATGGAACCTGTCCAATATTTGCTGGTGGGCAAATAATTCGATCGAGCAGTAGCTATTGCTAGGGCCCAGGGTCAAGTTTTTTGAGCTCGGAGATGACTTGTGCACTTCAACGCTGAGAATTATTTTAACCATTTTGTTTTTTTAGTGGCAACTAATTAGTCATGTTAAATTAAATCTCCGAGTGATTGAAAAAAATGAACTCTCCGTTATACGTACATGGACTCGAGAACAATACTTATATTCCACAGACTAATTTGGACCCGAAAGGCGCGATGCATGATCGAGCAAAAACTTTTAAGGACGAGCATTCGAATGTTTAGGTTGAAAAAAATGCCGAATTCATTAGTTCGGATAAGAAAATCCTGAACTTTCAAAAATCGGAATCAAGCTGACCACATTAAGTGAAAGTCGGATGGTTATTTATTTATTTATTTATTAAATTGTAGCGATGTTTGGTTTTTGAGCTTTTGCGAGCCAGGTAGTTTTAAATAAATATAGCAATCGCTTTAAAATCTATCGAGTTTCTAGATCAATTAGAAAAAAAAAGAGTTAATTTGTTTTCTTCAAATTAACTGAAGAAGAATCGAACAGCCGGGATTTATTTTCCTTCAAAAGTTGAAATAATCGAACCACTTTCTTTTTTATTTATAAATATTCGAGAGCACAAAGCCTGCGCATCAGTTCCCGTGGGCGCAGCGGGTCCACGCACCCATGGCCAGGCAGGGAGCCCAGCCCTAAAGAGCAATAGAATCTCGAGTGTGACAGGGTAGACATGACTACTCTAGCAAGGAATGTAACATTTCCTCTCAAAAATAGTAAATGCGATTTCCTTCTATAACGAGGGAATCTAACATTCTTTAAGGGATGGGAAAAGCTAGTTTATTGTACAGGTTATTTAATTTAAGTGAGCCAACATACCCTAATTTTTATCAATTTTAAAATGATTGTTATACAGTATTTAAAAAAATAATGACAATAAATTAACACATCAAAACAACACAAAACTGCTAGAAACTGTGAACAAAGACAACTGTGCTGTCTTTGTTCACAATTTCTACTTAATAAATTTAGATAATGATTTATATCAAATTGAGAGAAAAACAAACAGGCACACCTAACAAAATTTGGAATTGGCTAAAACTTAAAAGAAAGTTGCCGAACAATAATTAAAAAAATATTGCAACTCATATCGTGGTTGGTAAATTATCCACGACGATCATCCAGCTGCCGTTATTAGCAACCATGCATGGGACGGTCGGTAATATTACCAATCGCTTCTCACGAGGTTGCTAAAATTACCAACCAAAAATAGCTTTTGCTAAATATTAGAAGTGACGATTGGTAGAAATTTGCAAGGCCTAAATGGCAACTGATTGGTTCTATTGATAATATATTTGAAAAAATATTTTACCATCCGTCTATATATATATATATACACATTGCCAACTGATCTTGCTATTGATGATGAGGATATTTTTTTTACGGTGTTTTTTTTGTTCTCCATAAACACACATAACTATATTGCATTATGTTTTTGGAATTTATATAAACACTCATAATATTGAAATGGTAAGAAATCGACATGCAAAATGATAATAAACGATCAAATCCAAGGGATGATTAAATAAAAATCAAAATGTAGGAGATCAAGGTTTAAAACAGTACAACAATTTGTAAAAATTATATATGTGGGCAAGTGAATCCCGTGGAGCCTACTGTCAATTCCTATGCCTAAACTTGCAAGCACCAATCTGGTACCAAATTGATGGAAAGGAAGAATTGTAGGCACCAATTTGGTGCTAAATGTAAGAGTACTTAACCCATAAATAAGTTGCCTTTCAAGTATTAAGGAAATAAATGAGAAAAAATTAAGGAGTGAAAAAGTGAAATCAACACGCAAGAGTTTGAGAGATATACTTTATCATGTATTTTAAGAAGAGAATGTGAGGTGTTTACTCTTATTAGTAAAAAAATTGTTAATTATT